ACTTAATTGCATGCCTAGCTATGTTGCATAATTGCAAATGCAGCATATGTATAACAGGATAGATTATACAGAAAATTATCCAATTTTCACATTTCCAGGGATATGCACCGGATCGTAAAAGTTACCGTATATTGGATAGATATCAAAAAATGTGACACCAATATCCGGTCGGATATTCAGTATAGAGCATTATCCAGCGCAGGATACCAGGTATTTTTCGGATAATTTTTAATTTCTATCAAAAGGATACACAGTAAAATGAGATAGAATAATTTTGATTCTTTATGCATATATGATATTGCATTATTGCAATTATATGCAAGTTTTGCGGGCTAAATTGATCTTAGAACTGCATTTGCGCATAATGCAATTAATGAATTAAAAAACTGACCTAGTTTATAGAAGAAAGGTCTCTTCCAGTATCCGAAAAAGGATTAAAATAGATTGAAAATTTTTAATCCATTTAAATCTAAATTCTTAATCCATATATGTAATAAAATTGAATCATTTTCTATTCATATAGGAATAGAACATAATTCTTTATATAATAGAACATAATTCTTTTTATGGATTCAAATGTATTCGAATGGATTCAAATAAATTCATTTTTTATGGATTCAGGTGGATTCAAATGGATTCAAATCAGCTTTAAAGAAGACTCTAACTATGAGATACCAAGTTCATTTTAGATAAAGTAGGCAGAAATTTAAAAAAAATAATAGGTCATTTTGAAGGGAATTTAATAAACTTTAACGTATATAAAATTTAATTCAAATTCCATTTTTTTGAAAATTAAAGAAATGTAAAAAGTGAGCAAATCGCAAAACCAAAAAATTATGCTCCTAATATAAGATGTCTCGAGAAATATCGATAGATATCGATAGAAATCGAAAACGCAAAGTATAGTATTGCAATTAGTATTGCAATTAAAAAACTTTATTTAATGTTTCTAAAATACAAATAAACACAGCCAACGTGCGCGAAAAATAAGCATAGATAGATTATACCTAGAACGATCGTCTTCAGGTAGTTGGAATCAAGCATCGCAGAAATAGGCACTCATTCCGATTATCTTTTTTATTATTATATAATAACATTTATACTTTAATGATTTTAACTTTAACATAGGATTTTCATTATAGGAGCATGAATTATTTCATATTAAGAATATCCTGGGTATTTCATATTACGATTTTCACGCCTTATTGTTTTACGATCATCAAATCTAACTTCTATATAATTAAACAATTCAACATATCCCGTATTTTTGTATTAGTACGACTCTACCACTCTACTACTACATAAAGAATTATATTCTAATTATATTCATTACATAAAGAATTTATTGCCAAATATTTATTTATTAAATAATAAACAAGGTTTAAAGAGTTATCTCAATGAACTTGAAGATATCCAAAATCTAAAATCTTATTTTACAATACTACAATAACTACAGACATGATCTAATAATGAATTTTCTACTAAATAGTTTTCAATCCAAGAGCAATAAATTCATGGTGGAACCAATAGATAGCGTTTATTAGTTTAGCAGAAACACTGCTATCTCATATTAACCGCCTATCTTATAAGGAGCTTTCCTCTAATATTAATTAATCCAGTTTTATTGCTAAAATATTATTATAAATTGGTCCATTATATTCTAAATGCACACACACACACACACACACACACACACACACACACGCGCGCGCGCGCGCGACAAAATTATAACAAAAGAACGTTTTTACTTAAATTAGAGAATTTATTTTTATGGTGCTCTCCAAACGCCCCAATATCTCATATTAAGCGCCTATTTCATAATAGAGGCTTCCCAAGCAGAACAAGTCATTATGCCTCTGTCAAAATGACTCTAAAATGATCATTAAAATCATTTTTCAATCATTTCCTATTCATTTTAATGTTATTTTGACATTATGTCGTGACTTGTTGCTCTGTTTGGGAATTTCCTCTATCTGTGCATTTTTGGGAAGCGCGTTACATATCATCATCAATGGATACCTTCCAACAAGAAACACACATTCATGTGTGTGACACATTTATATCTTTATAGATACGTTCTGATATTCACTGCTGAAAATCTACAGCGTAACGTATATTGTATAGTTTCAGTACTGATAATGAATATCAGAACGCACCCCTTGTTGTTTGCCATGTTAAACAAGAATGAGATGATCACTGTTATATTGAGTTGTTTGTTGGAAGGCATCCAGTCAATATAACTACATAATTATGCTGTGATCCAGTGCTACTGCTAGAACTGGGTTGAATTAAGCTGTATTCCTATTGCGATATTCTATCTTGTTTTAATTTCTATCTAATTAACATTAAAAATAAATTATGCCACATGTTATGCTTTTTTAGCTCAATTTTTTAGCATCGTTCATAGTTTCTCTTTTTTTCTTCATGTTGGAAAAGGACAGGAAAGGAGGAAAAATGAATCGAAAGAAGTCCAGTTGAAAAGAACAGACCTATAATAATACTAACTATCGATTCGTCGTTCCTCCTCAATTCCCTGTTCCTCTGTTTACGTGATGTGACGTGGTGGCTGTGGTGCACGGTGCAGACCGTGCAGCAGGTGATCGTCGTGATCGTGTACGGTGGCGGGATACTGGATACACAAAGTAGCCGGTTGTGTTCGAATTAACAGCCCTGGAAATTATTCTTGATTACTGTAAACTACTGTACCCAACTTTTATCATGTTGCAGTCAATATTTGACGATGTACGACGTATGAATAAGCGCCAGGTAAATTACAATGACGATTGTTACTGTTGAGCTGGTGACGGTCGCATATGGTGACTATGTAAGAATGTTCTGATTTTCAGTTTTTATATCAATTGCTGAGCTTTGGCATGATAGTCTCGTCAGCGTTGATGATATGGAAAGGTCTGATGGTTGTTACCGGCAGCGAGAGTCCTATTGTGGTTGTATTGAGGTACAGAACATATCTAACCTAACTCCATCTATATATCTAACCGCGTTTTTAATTAATTTTTAATTGGCTATTATTGCTACATTTGTCAAGTTGAAATCAATACTACCGGTTTGCATGAATGACAACATATATTATATTTTTTGCTGTAAAAAAAATGTTTTGTTATTTTGTTATATGATATACAATATACTTAAGATAGACTTGATGATTGGAGGTTTGTATTATAATATTGTATTGTTAGTATAATTCAGTCATACAAAAAATATTGATCAATAATATTTAATAGGCTGACACTAATTTAATGTTTGTTCTAGTCAAAGACATAGAGAATGGACTGCTTGATTTAAATAATATGGATTGACAAAAATGAAAGAGAGGAACTGTGGAAGATGGTCAATCTTTCTTTCATTCTCCATCATTATATATGTTAAATGGAAAGAGATAAAGATTGACAGTCTACCATGGTTCCTTTCTCTCATTTTTATCGATATACTACTTAGATACAATCGAGCAGTCCATTCTCTATGTTTTTGATCCTAGTCTATTGAATGTTATTCAATTTCTTTTAGTGGCAGTATGGAGCCTGCATTTCACAGAGGTGATTTGCTCTTCCTCACCAATTATCAAGACGAACCAGTAAGAGTAGGAGAGATCGTTGTTTTCAAAGTCGAAGGCAGAGACATACCTATTGTACACAGAGTACTTAAACTTCATGAGAAGTAAGGACTCTTACAACGCATCTTGTTAACTTACAATATCAAATATAAAGAATGATTTTAAAATGCATATGCATAAAAATTCTAGGGGTGATCAAAATAATACGGTCAAGTTTCTCACGAAAGGTGACAACAATTCTGTAGATGATCGAGGTCTGTATGCACCTGGTCAGCTTTGGTTGACGCACAAGGATGTGGTTGGCCGAGCGAGAGGTTTCCTACCATATGTTGGCATGGTCACTATATACATGAATGAATATCCTAAATTTAAGTATGCAGTATTAGCATGTCTTGGATTGTACGTTTTGGTACACAGAGAATAAAATGTTCGATAAGTTTAAACATAATATATTGCGATAATCTGATCGTTTCTGAGGGAATGCGCAATTTACTAAAAATAAGGACACACACATACCAAACTATGCACAACATAATAATTTAGTGCATACGTTGCTGATCTTACTATTAAAAAGAATACTAAAAAATGTTCAAGCCAAAGTGCATTTCCTTGTATGTAAATATATTTGCATATTCAAATCAATAATCTCAAATATTTTGCTGAAATTATTGCATGTAAATTTATATTCAATATTTTATCTTGATTTTTATACCAAGATGCGATATTCGTGGTGAATACTCTAAAAAATAAGAGAATGATAAGAGATAATTTTGTCTTCAGAATATTGAAATGCACGCGTGCTAGATTAAAATGGCAATTTCTAAAGGCATTAGCTATAAAGATCATTTCAATCAATTCCAATTTATTAACTGTAATCGTTAATCTTTAGACTGTCGACATTTTTTCATTAGTGTTTTTTTTTTTCAAAAAATTTTTCTATATAAGTAACATACACATGGCGCAAAATTTAAAGATTTGTGCAAAGCCACAAAAGTGGCTTTTCCGATAAAAAAAAACATACGATTAAATATAAAAAATATTTATTTTCTCAAAAATAATTTATTTTGGGGGCTTTTGGTATCGCTGATTCTAATTCTGATCATAGATTTATAAAATTTCAGACCTTAAGCGCAATATTGACAACATAAATGTATAATGAATATAAACGTATAGACTCAGAACTTTCCTATTACTCAAAGCTAACGATATGGACGTAGAAAGTTTGTAGTCCTTTTGTCTATCCATTTTGATTTTCCTTTTTATTTGATTTTTAATTTTTAATTTTTGTTGTACTTTTTTCTTGTTTTATAATTACTAAAAGTAGTGGTATTTTAACCCAATTTCATCATTGCCACAAAAGTGGCTTTCCCGACAATCTAAAGGTTAATAAATGCAATTGATCAATTCTAATGGACTAATCGTCGATTAAAATTAATCGGAATCGGTCAAAGTGGCCCTAAATATTGCAATGTCTAAAAGACATAAGTAAAGTTAAAAAGAACTAGGCAGTTTTTTAGAAACGTTCTCATTTTTGTTTCTCAGGTAATAATTTATAAAAGTGACGCCACTGTTTGTGACAAGATAATCTTTGTGGCGCATGTGTAGCATTTATATACGTTAGAGAAATCATTGTTTATTTTTCTCCGCTTCCACTTTAAAAGAGCGGCAGCGTATTATATGTAAAACCCGAAAGAAATAAATTTTGTTGTAATTCTTAATGTGGCATGCTGTATAATTACTTTTATTTTAGATATGGAATAAATTTGGGTACAATGCGATAATCCTTTAGTTTATAATTAATTTACAATAGTTTACAAAGTTATTCATTTTGATCTTTTACAAGTTTTATTCTCTCAATTCTATTAGTAAGCAATTAGAATGGATGATAAAATCAAATTAAAACACATTACATGCAATTTATCATGGAACATATGTTTTTGTATCAAATAAAAAATAAATTTCTGTTACAAATTAAAATTATAACATATATTAGAGTTAACATATATTAACATATATTAAAGTTATACATATATAGCTAATAACATATATTATCATACATATATCATCATACGACGTGACAATTTGTTAATTGCTCCATGATGGAGCAGTTGACAAATTATCACGTCACCATTGACTGCTTATCTATCTATATATATAACTGATAATTAATTGACATTCTATTATATATTTGAGATATTTATTATCAAGAAAAAAAATAATATTTAACGTGATTCCAAGCGTATCCACAGCTCTTTGGGAGAAACAATTATACCTGGCACTTTATCCTCGAGGCTCGATGGTTCACCTTCAACGAAGAAGAAGTTAAAGTTCTGTACCAAAAGAACCACTGTCCCAAACAGGTTGTATCTGGTATAGGTTTCTCCTGCGCATAATCGATGACCTACAAAAAAAATTCAACAGAATTTATTGAACTTTATTAAAATCATGTATATCGATTTACCAAAACCAAAGGGAAGCGTAAAATCTTTGGCTAACTGCCCGTCTTCCTTCAAAAATCTTTCCGGTCTGAAAATTTTAGGATCGCCCCACAAGTCAGGATCATGGTGCATAGCCGCTAAGTTAGTGAAAATAAACGTGTTCGCCGGTATCTCGTAGCCTTGTAACGTAGTTTTCTTCAGACACTTGTGAGTTATGCTGAGAGGAGTGAGAGTTTCGATTCTCATCGTTTCTCGTATTGTCGCTTCCAAATAAGGCAAGCTGAAAAATGAAAATATTTTAAATAATTACTTTGGATCTTTGTACTGCAATGTATAATTGAACTCGAATTAAGAAACTCATGTTTGAACTAATGTTTGAAAATAATAATACGTCATAAAATGTGAAAAAACTTCTTATAGTAAGCTAATGTCATGTAGAGCATGTGATAAAGCATGAATATATAATGTTTTTACTAAGTGCATTCTTATCTTCAGTTTTAATAAAAAATATTAAATATTAAATATTGATAAATCGTATCTTGATTTTTACAATTTAGACTTACGTTTCTGTTTATATTTTTCACTAAGTAAGAATGTATCTAAATATAAATAATTTTTAATTAAGTCATAATCAAATTTAGATTAAGATGAAATAGCAATAAGTCAGATGAACTATAAGCAAATTGTGATTAGTTAAATACACGCGTAGCGAATATTTAAACTCGATTTTCTTAAACACAGAGATTTCTTTATAAGGAAAATTTTATTCTATATTTTCGACTTTTACATAAGAAATCATCTCCTTCCCAGTTATACTACGATTTCTGAAATATCCTTTATTGATATTTATGTATTTTATAAATTGCAAAACGTTAACTTACGGCTCTGTGTATCTACTGATGTTTTATACTAACATTCTTTCTTGTTCTTGTGATTTATCGATATAATTGAAAAGAAATTGTTCTTTCTCTCTTAACTATACAATGATCGTAAACTCACTTTTTTCTATCGTCCCATGTGGCTAATCGTCCAGTCCCAACAACATTATCTATTTCATTCTGTACTTTCTCCATAATTCTAGGATGGTGCATGAGGTACTTAATAACATGAGTAATCACGGATGGTATTGCAGAGAAAGCGGGAAACATTACATCATTTAACAAAATGATTAATTGTTCCTCCGTGAAATTATCCAACTTATCGTCTCCGTTCAATTTCTTTAAATATCTATCGACGAATCCTTGATTATCATTCTCGTTGATAATAGTTTTTTGATAATCCAGATATTTCTACGGAATAAAGTACCATCGTATTTTTTAACTACGATACTCGAACAAGCAAGTCAATAAATCGCTACACTGTTTAAATTTGAAATTTTGAAAACTTATGATTTAAGTACAGAGTGATATGTATTGCATACAATAATTTAAATGCACATTTGTCAATTGAAATTAATTATCATTCATGAATTTTGATTATAATTGTTTGAAAAATAACTTACTTTGATTATATTTGATATTGTGGTGCTTCCTTTCATATGGTTTGTGTAACTAAACATGTTACCGAAGTATCTAAAAATCGATCGCTGGGAAATAGCACCGCCAGTTGGATCGTTTGATCTTTGAAACAATATAGACATACGACAGAGAAGTCGCGATATATCATGCTCGCTTCTATCAAATCTACGACCGAACATAATGTTCCATATATTGTTAGCTGCCGACGCATACAGAATGTCCGGAAAGAGCGCCAAATTGCCTTTTAGTATCTCCTATAAATAATGAAATTGTTCTCTATCTTTTTTTATTAAAAGATTTTTACGTGCAATTATACGGTTGTACCTTCTCTCCATCATAAATGGGTCCGTTCTTCAAAATGTCGAGGAATAAAGTCATTTCATCCATGATTTCGCTCTCGAGTTTGTCCTGCCGTCGACCGAATCCAAAATCGCGCATATGTCGGAGAGTAAATCTCCTTTGTTCATGCCATTGCGGGCCTTCGATGAAAAATATACCTGCATGCGTACAATTTTATAATATTTATTTACTAATCCATAATCAAATAAGTTTGTTATTTACGCTTTTTATCGTTATCGCGTGTTTCCAATTTCGAAGAAACGAACAGATACTTTTGATATATATATATATATCAAATATATATATATCAGATAGAAGAATTGAGGAAACAGACTTTCAAAATGCGTTTTGTCTAAAATTTCATTTTTTTAATTAGAGATGGTGGCGAAAGATTTATATTATAAGCTACTCTGAGATGTTCAGAAAGCATTCATCGTTAATTTATATGCTGAAAAAACGTAGACATTTCGAAATGTATTATGTTTTTTAACTAGAGACAAACAAAATGCATTTTTAGCAATTGTTTAGCAATTTTGTTTAATATTTCACATCCTACTGATTGACATATTGTTATTTTCTAGTGTGCGTAGTTTCTTTCTTTCTCGTTTTCTAAAAATTACAAATTTTGGACAAAATGCATTTTGAAAGTCTGCTGCTCAATTATATATTGCATGTACATCGAAAAGTGAATACATAATTATATTAAATACGAAAAAGAACGTTAGCTTATCACGGTCAAAGTTAGATGTTGAAATAATACAATATATATATATA